TTCAGTTTGTGTCTCAAAACCATGTTCCTGACTTCATAAATATGCTTATGGAAAAATCTGCCCATAAATAACCATGTCCCTGTAGCAGTAACTTCAGTGAGGGGCTAGGAGTGAAAGTGCATGTGGTTCTCTTGAAATACCAGGAGTGCAGGCTGCTCCTGCCCTGCTCCCCCTGCATTACACTGTCAGTAATGTCTGCATGACCTTTTACATGGCAGGTGTGTTGCTGCACTGTGTGTGCCACTGCAAAGTGACTGTGGAACCACATACTGAATACCTAACAGGGAAAGGATTTGAAATAGGGTGGAGGTGGAAGAGGCAAAGCTTTTCTTTAATAATGTTGGGGAAAACCAAAAACAGCAAAAAAATGATTTTGTCGACAACTCATGATCAAGTGTATTGCAGCAACTATTTTGTTTAGCCATTCATGATGGGAGTAGCAATACAGCTCATTCTTTTAAAGACATCTTCTAACATTAGAGAAATTTTCTAACATTAAATTGCAGTTAATTTACACTTGCAGAGATTTCATGTTAACTTTTTCCTTTCTGGGGTTGTTTATCTTCCCCCTCTTAGAGAAATTCTGAAAATGTTGTCTGGAATAAATTGTCTCAAGTAGCAGATGCTGAGAATGGGGAATTACATCCATGGTTCCAGCTTGAGCCATCAGCTTCAAGGAGTTTAATTACTTCCGAACTTTTCCCTTGTAAATAGTGGATTTAATCAGTGTTTGTCAGAAACATCATACTTATGTTCTACTTAGTAAGCAATTTCTGCCAAAGGAGGAGATAAGTTTTTTGTTAAATACAAAGTAATCCTTGCACCAATTATTTGTTTAAGCTAGTCTTACTATGTGCGTTTCCAGGGGTGGGTAGAAAACTGCTGCAACTAAAACTAGAAAAGAAAACTGGGGAATTTCTATCTGGTTTTTGCTAATGAACCCCCTTGTAAAACATTCTTGCCCTTCCTGTGGCTATGCTCTAACTTTCTAGAAAATACTAGGTACCTGAAGAAGGCAGGTAGCTTTTGCCATGTGAAAATGGTAATGTCCAGCTTTGTGCAGGTGCAAATGCTGATGTTTGCAGGAAGACAGTAGTTAAATAGATTTCTGATAGGTTTGGCTTGTGCTGCTGTAAATTCTACTTTCAATTCAGCCTATCTGTTCACTCACCAGATGAACTGGTTTTTTCACCCTCCCTGTAGACTGTCAACAGATGAGCTCAGAAAATGCTCTTTGTGCTTCTTGACATCAGCTGCTGAAGAGCAGGCTTGGGTAGATGTTGAGTTTGTCAGTGTATCTAAAATGCTGTATTATGCGCAGTGCCTTGATGAATACTTCAGTAGCTAATCTCTTCACCACAAGGCTCTAGTTTCCTTTGGCTTCCTTCTATTCTGTCAGTACTACTTTGAGTTGGATTTTTTTGGTACGGCCACCATGCAAATGTGGTTTGGGTGATACTTGGCAGCAGATCAGGTCATGAGGGTGTCAGGGCAGCCCTCTGGGCAGAAAGGTCAGTAAAGCAGAACTTTCTTTTAAATCAGTGCAGGTTGCATTGTTTTTCTGGTTGGAGCCCAAACCCCTTAGGTCGAGTGTAGCCCTTAAATTTTTCACTGTGATGTTATATTTCCTTCTTGCATCAAAAAATGTAACACTCTGCACAGAACAGTTCACAAATACATACTCTAGTTTCTCTCTTTAGCTGTACTTTACCTGGAGGTAGCCCAAAGATTAAGTGAATTCTGTTTTGAAGGCCCCTTTCTGCATCTTATAGTGCTGCTTGAGAGGGGTCATGTGACCATTAAGAAAAAGGGTTGCTCCGTTCGTTTCCTGTCTAGCTGTCCCCCTGACGGTACACACTTCATAAACACGCTGTGATTATTTGATTACATGAAATGTGAAACCACCCAGACTTTTGTAGCATTACAAAGTGTTTGGTTAATATAGTAGTGCCCCATGTTGTTAAACAACTTTGGCATTTCTCCACACACCTTGTGGAGTTGTTAAGATTTGTGCATGAGCTTAAGCCTGCGTGGTTGAAGTCTTTGTAGGAACAGGCTTAAGCGCAAGGTTGTGCCAGCCAGGGTGTGCAGGCACAACCTGACAGGCTGTATCGGTGGCTTTTTCTACTCTGTCAGGAAGGAAAGTAGGGCTGGGAATACTGGGCCAGATGTGCAGCCAGAATAAATGGTGCATAATATGGAGCTACTCTTACTGTCTCTGTTTTGCACAGAAGCGTTGTGATTGGATGATGCTCTTTCCAGTAGGAGAAAATGTTTGTTTAATTATGATTCTGGTGGTTACAAGACATTAGTTCCCAAAATTGGTATTTGGACTTTGCAGAGGGCAGGTAAATTCTTTTGCTCATTCAGCCCAGGCCATGAGATGATAGGGGAAAAAAAAACAAACAAAAAAACCCCAAACAAACGTAAAAATCATTGAATCCTATCATGTAGGGATACGCAGACAGATAAAAATAATTTTAAAGGCCACTATGTAAATATTTTGCTGACAATTATCCCTTCTCTGGGATAGATAGTATAATTAATTTCTGACTTCTTCAGTTTACACCCAAAAACCTTTTTACTGCAACATAATGTTATCTCTTTCAAACAGATTTAGGTTATTGAGAACTTTAAACAAATAAGAATCAGAAAACAAACGTCTCTTCCTTCACTGCCTGGCTGAGCTCCTGCTTCAGGGCAGTGTACCTAAACTTGGATGGGTTTCCCCTGTCTCTGTCTGTGTTTTTGTGGAACAAAAAGCTTCTCACTTTTAAAACTTTACAGGTGATGTTGTAGAAAAAGCATGCATAAATAATGGCCAGTGGTGTACTTTGATGTGTACTTGTAGCCTAAAAAAAAATAATTGCTGTTTAGAATGTATAATTTAAAATATTAATGAATCTTGTTCCCCTTGGAAAACAGGCTTTAAATATTATCGGTGACCATTCTGATTAGTCCCAGCTCAAACAAAGTTTTACTTTCTAGGATGTCTATAAAGAAGCCACTTGACCTCAGGCTCTTTAGTTACTCCTGTTACAGAGCTGAGAAAAACCTCTGGAAACTGCTATATTTTAATGAAAAAAATCGCAGGGATAGACTGGGGAGGAGAGTGGGAGAATAAAATCTTGGCAGTGCAAGCAGACCTATTTATTGAAAAAAAAATGAAGCTTCCTTATAGACTTTGGTTCTGAAAAGTGTGGGGTTTGATTTAGCTGATTTGCAAAGATAGGAAGTAAGACAAAGGCCACTTTGTCATTCCAGAGTTTTGGAGTTATACCCACATCACAATGACATGCAGCACAGTTTTTTCGTATAGTTTTTTGGCTCAAGCTGGGTTTTGGGTAAGAATGAAAGTTGGCAAAACCGGCTTCTTTGCTCAGAGAAGAATAACTTCTGTTGATCAGAGATTTTTGGAGAGATTTTTAATTAGACCAGTGCTGTGAAGGCTGCAGAGTCTAGGGAGTTCAAAACAGATATGCAAAGTACTTTTCAATTCCTCATATTTCATCATCATTTCAAAGCCAGTAGGGAGCTAAGTCTCAAACTGATGCCATGGTTTAACTCTGTATAGTTATTTCTTTTTCCTGCCAAGTTTGAGTCACTGTGGCCACCTAGCCCCTTCTTGAGAGATTAAAATGATGGGAAGCTGGTATACTTTCTCCAATTAAATGAGTGAATGTTTCTATTCAAGCATCGATTCAGATTTCCTTTTGCTTTTCTATCAGTGTGTGGGATGGACAAGACCATTATTTTTAATTCCACAGTGAGTAACTGAGGAAATTGACTAGGAGTGGCTGAGTGACTCACAGACAGTCACCAGTCTATAGGGTAGCTATAGGGTAAGGGTGACTTTTGGGCTCTACTGGGTTCAAAAACTGGTCCAGATTCTGTGATTGAAAGCCATACTGGACTCAAAAAAAAAAAAAAAAAGAGAGGCTTTTAGACATATCATTGGCAGACATACTCCCAAACCACATTATGAATTCCACTGCCTGGCATCTCAGTGTCAGCCTCAACAGCAGAGGCATGAGGGAAATACATAAAGGGAATGAAAGGTCTTAGCAGAAATGTGCAGTAGTGCCCAGCCACTCTGTGGAAGCATTGGCTTAACTTCTGCTCAAGTCATTCAGGGTATGTAATCGATGTTTGCATAGATAGTTTTTGGCTTGTGTGTCCACCTGCATTGCCTGTTGTGCTGGAAGTTAAAGAAAAAGTGGAATTGTCGTTTTGGTGTGGATGTGTGTACTTACATTGGAAAAAGGGTTCTGTTTGAGGGGAAGGAAGAGGTAGGCCATGGAGTGCAGCTCTGCCACAAGTCAAATTTTCTCCTAAAGTACTGCGCTTCCTGTAGGTGCTCACAGTTATGGCCTAGACCGAGTGGAAAAACAACCTCTTGTTGGCAGTCTGTTCACTTACCAGTGGGATGACAAGTGTGCTTTTTCAGGAGCTTCCATTTACTCTTTACACTGCCACCCCTCTCTCTGTATACAAAGGGTTTGGTTGGAAAAGAAGTGGCTGGGGTGGAAACTTACTTGTGTTTGAGATCAACACAAAGCTTAGGCACCAGTTAAACCTATTTCAGCACTGGAATTTACGTTGACTTGTGATTTATAGACACACAAACATTTTCAGGAGAGTTGCAGCCTCTTTTAGAAGTCTCATGATTGCGCACGATGCAGTAGCTATGGACTTGGTTTTACTAATCAGCTTTTGAGCCTGGGGACTCTCAACTTGTGTGCATCATTGTTCTGCTGTCTTAAGCCCTGTTTTGAGAGAGGGAGAACCTCAGTGATGCGCAAACTGTCTCTCTGCACAGTGACAAGTTTTAATCCCTGTTATAGGTAGGAATATGCCTACGTCTGTAGGAATAGCATGGGGGAGGAAGACATGTTTGCCTTTACAGCTGCTGGCAGCAAAGAAATGCAGCAATACTTGATTGAAAACCAGTATCATATTGTTTTACTAACCAGATTTTTTTTTTCCTTTCTTTTTTGTAGGTCTCAGACTCTGGATACTGGCTGTGGGATTTTTTTTTTAATTTGGGGGGGGGGGGGGGGATTTATTTTTTTTTTCTTCCTTTTTGGATGTGAATTGAAGGCCAACAGTTGAAGTGTTGGAAGCAAGTGCAGGAGGACATTCACCTTGTTTTATTTGAACCCTTGTTTGCTGCTATACTTTCAAGCCCTCCTTCACAGTCATGTGGTCATCACAGCTGCTGTTCTTCACAATGCTCTTAACACCGTTATCCCATGGTGAGTGAGAAATGATGTAAATTTGTCTCTGGGAAGGGAAGAGAATATAAAAAATAGTAATGATTTTTGCCTGTCTCTTTTATCTAATGGTGTAGCTTTTTTCTAGGATGTTGATTTCTCTCGCTGCTTCTATACCAGGTCTTTGAATTCCCAGGCTACATTATTATCAGTTACATCCTGAAACAATGGACTGGTCACACAACAAAAATTTCTGTTACCAAGTGTAGCTGCTGTGTTAAGGCAGACTTTCTTCCTCATGCTCAGACCTATTCTGTTGGCTGTGTGTCACTGAGATTGTCTCTCCTGGCCTCTACATCGAAATGGATTTCCCTTTTGTGAGTGCAATTCAGTAAGGGGCTGCCTACCCCCTTTAGCCACAGTTCCAGCATGGGATCTTACTATCACATTAGACTCTGATTTCAAGCATTGGAGTGAATTTTTCCATGCCCTGCTGAAAGACAGAATTCCAAAATCTCGGTGACCTTGAGCTGAGAAGAACCAAACCCAGCAGAGTTGCCTTAGCCTGGCACGCTGTGTAACCGATCAGCAATGCGGAGTCATTAGATGTAGCCCCATGCTGCACTGCTAGGCTGCAGTCCCAGAGACTCTACCACCATTGCTGATGGGCTTGGCCTTGGCCAGCAGCCAGTCCATCTTGGAACCGATGGCATTGGCTCTGTCAGACACAGGGGAAGCTTCCAGCAGCTTCTCACAGAAGCGTCCCCTGTAGCACCCTCTGTTCCTCCCTGCCAATACCAAAGCCTTGCAGCTCAAACCTAGTCCAGAGCTCTAGGAGAAAAATTAAAAAATAAAAAAAAAGTGGTGATCTTAGTAGCCAGGAAAGTGTTAAATGAAATTGGATGTGTTTATTTTTTGGAGTAAGATTTTGAGGCCCGGGGTGGTGGGATTTTTATATGGGAAATGTAGGCCCCAGAAGTAAGTTGTCAGGTTTCATAAGTGATGAAGGGTTCAGGAGATCCTATCCTATGTACAGAGTGATGGTTGCTCAGAGTATAGGTTTGGAAAATCCAGCTGCCTGATTTTTCTGATGCTTAAATGTAAGGTGAGCTTCACCAAGAATCTTTTAATTACAGGTCAGTGGGAGCATGTTTATAAATAACATGACTCCTTGCACATAGGCTGTGGGCCCCTGCTTTTAAAATATTCATCAGTTTTTTTTCTGCTTTACATGTACTGTGTCATGCACTGGGTATCTTCTAAGGCATACTAAAGCAATATTTTACAGCAAAGGAGGACGTTAAAAAATTAGATACACGTAATTAGTTGAATGTATCTATAGAGTACAACCTATCTGCTTGTATCATTTAACACCTTTGGGCACAAAGGTTATCTGTACTATCATTCTTCAAGTAAAATTCCTTGGCGACTTGAAAATTAGAATTAATGTTTAAACTGAGCCAAACAATTGGGGTGGAATGAAAAAGCTATTAGGAAAGGTGCTCTCCATTCTTCTTCAGGAAGGGATGATGGCAAATGTTTTGTAAATCTTTATAATTAAACAATATCAACAGTTAAAGCAATTAACAATTTAACTATGCCTCTGGCAGTTCTGTTTTAATTTCACAATGCTACTGTAGCTGGAAGATCCTGCCTGATAGTTGCAGTAAATGGAAATGTCACAAGTATCCTAGGAGTTGTATTATGCTACAGATGAGCAAACACAGGAGCTGCAGAAACTAGGTGCCTGGAAATATTTCTACCCTGTATGTTCTTCTGCAAAGGAAATCTACAAGGTAGCTGTTGTGGTGGTTGTAGCAGTAAGTAGTGGTAAATCTGACCACCAGACGTATAACCAATGCGTGTGTTATCTGACCCTGTAAATTGCGAATCATAGTGTGGTAGAAGATCACCTTTGGACGGTGGAGAGTAAGGGTCTTTGGTCAGAGCCAAAGGTCTTGGTTTGATTCTCCCTGTTTTGATCTCAAGATTGGCCAGGATGCAACTATTATCTCAAAATCTTGGCCTGTTACCTTTCTGGGGGGAAGTAGGTACTGAGCATGTATCTTGTTTGAGGGTGATATGTTCTTGGCACTAAATGAAGGGATTTAGCTGTGTGATGTTTGATGAGTATGGCTCCTACCAGCTACCACTGGACAGTTAAACCCATCCAATCTCCCATGGAGACTGAAGGACATGCGCATAAAAATCAAAATTGAATCAAAGGTCAGAATAAATAGTCTAATGGGGCTTCCGAGGCTTTGAAATCAGAGATTGAATATATGATGGCTTTCAGGTGCTCTTCCTTGCTGCCCCTCTTCCTGCAAGTTCCACAGAAGGTTGCATAAAGTGAATTTTAAGCTGATATCAATGCAGAGGTTCCTGCTATTCTGAAGACAGTATATGTGTGTTTAAACACATGCTGCATCCTCACCTTGCATACAAAAGTAGTCCAGTTAAGCCCTATTTTTGTTTTCCCCTTCTAATAATCCTCCTTCACTGTAGTGATTGCCAGAGTTGATACAATCTACTTATACAGACTGACATTAGTGCGTTTTATTCCCTTTTTGAGTTTCCTGACACAGTCGCTTCATCTGTAGTGGTAGCTACATTATAGACAGATTTTTAGGCCAGTGATCTCATAAATTTGCTGTGGTTTTTTGTTTGTTTGTGGTTTGTGTTTTTTTTTTGTTTGTTTTGGTAGTTTTGCTTGTTCTTTTGTTGTGTGTGTTTTTTTTGGTTTTGTGTTTTTTTTTTTTAAGCTATCTGATTTCTTGGAGTATATTCTATGTCTTAGGTTGCGATGACAGGTATGGAGTCAAAGACTGATCTGCAAGATGAAAAGTAATCTTTCAGGATACTGCCCTGGTACAATGTCATCTTGTTGATAAGCTGTAGAAATAATGAAAGGGGAAAAAGTCACAAATCCTTGCAATTTCTTGGTGATGATGTTAATCTGCTGTATTCCAGATGCACAAGCAGTGTACTCTCTGGTTTTGCTTGGACTGCTCTGAATCATAGCTCACAAAAACCCCTGAAACCATATGAAAATACTTGAAGTAACAGCAGATTCAGGTAGTGGATGGTTTATTTACTGTTGCCCTTCAATTAAATGGAAAATAGCTTACAGCTTGCATAGAAAATACGACTTGAACCAGTGGGGAAGCCCTCAGAAAGCTATCCCTTCTTCTACGTTCTGGCAAAGCCCGTAAATCCATCTGCTGGAAAAATGTAAACCTATTATACAAAATTTTAGAATTAATCATAGAATCATACCATCAACTTGGTTGGAAAAGACCTTTAAGATCATCAAATCCAACCTTTGTCCCAGGACTACTGAATCCACCACTAAAACAGGTCACTAAAGGAGTCATCTACATGTTTGTTTTGAACACTTCCAGCGACTGTAACTCTACTACTTTCCTGGGAAGCCTGATCTAATTTTTAATCACCTTTCAGTGAATAAATTTTTCCCAATATCCAGTCTAAACTTTCCCTGGTGCAGCTTGAGGCCCTTGCCTCTTGTCCTATCACTTACTTGGGAAAAGAGACCAGCCACTTTCTCAATCTTCCTTTCAGGTAGTTGTAGAAAATTATAAGATCCCTTGTCCAGACTAAACAACCCCAGTTCCCTCAGCTGCTTCTCATCAGACTTGTGCTCCAGACCCTTCACCAGCTTCATTGTCCTCTGCACCTGCTCCAGCACCTCAATGTCTCTCTTGTAGTGAGGGGCCCAGAACTCAACACAGGATTTGAGGTGCAGCCTCACCAGTGCGGTACACTGGGATGATCACTGCCCTTGCTCTGCTGGTCACACAATTTATGATACAGGCCAGGATGCCATTGGCCGTCAGTCAGCACCCTGAGGTCCTTTTCTGTTGAGCAGCTTTCCAGCCATTCTTCCCCAAGCCTGTTGATCCCTTCATCCAGATCATCAAGAAAGATATTAAACAACACTGGCTGTAACACAGAGCCCTGAAGGGCACCTCTAGTGACTGGTCACCAACTAGATGTGACACCATTTACCACCACTCTTTGGGCTTGGCCATCCAGCCAATTTTTAACCCTATCCAGACCATGAGCAGCCAGTTTATCTGGGAGAATGCGGTGGGAGAGAATGTCAGATGCTTCACTAAAGTCCAGATAGACTGTGTCTACAACCTTTCCCTCATCAACCAGGTGGGTCACCTTGTCATAGAAAGAGATCAGATTAGTCAAGATAGAAAGCAACAATACCAGGGAATTAAAAAAATAAAACTCACAATCAAAACATCAACAGGAACAAACCCAAAGGTTTTGGCATCCTTGGCCTATGGGCCTACGAACAGGGCTTTTGCACTGCTACTTCCTTTTTGCTCCTGTTTGGAAGTTTTTCCCAAAGCGTCTGAAGGAAAGTGTTCCTTGGCTTGGGCTCCCCCATGTACACCTGAGAAACCTGATCCTCTCTGCCTGTAATGGGTGGATTTCCCAGAGGCATTTTCTGGAATGAGCAGCTGTTCTCATCTTCCTCAGTCTTCCTCCCCTTAACCCCAAACAAAGCAGATTTCTTGTTACCCACAAATGAATACTGTCAAAGTTCACCCGAAATGAGACTGACATGACAGGCAGTAGCTCAGTTTGTGAGCCTGGAGAGACATGCACCTGCTCTGTCTGTCACATTACTGTCATGCTCGTATGTGTCTGAGAGTTGAGATTTAAAACTCACAGACTGCTGGACAAAAATAATAATAGGAATAAGAGGCTTCAAAAATACATGCTGTTAAGAGGAGCGTAGGAAGGATACCATAGTGATCACTGTGGGGTGAGGTTTTGCATGTCTCCAAGTAACCAATTTTAAGCTTTGGAAGAGAGCTGAAACCCTGTTGTATGCAAAGATCTTTATCATCCTATCAGATCGGTTTATCACTTTTTGTTTGAAGCTTATTTTTTTTTAATATTCCATTGTATGCATAATTTCATGACAGGCAGCAAAGAATTATTTTGTTGTTACTCTAATGTTTTAGCAGTCTAATCCAAAAATGGACAACCACTTACTACTCAGA